ATCGTAAAGGCCAAAAACTGAAACCCTATTCCAGTTATTAAAGGAAAGGCACATAAAGCAAATATATCTAAACCAAATTTGTAAATAAGTGGAGGGAGGAAGGTAGGATCTTCTTGTAATTACTACCTTGCTAGGTAGTATACTATATTGACTAAGACAAAACTCTATGCATAGGGTTGTTGTAACTACGATAGTAGAGCGTGATTACAGAAGACACGCTGGATGTCCAGATAAAGCACCAAGAATTATGGAAGATATGCGGAATTGTACCGCATATTATATAGTACATCTATGTACATCTATAAAGTACATCTATGAAAAATTGAATAATATAACTAATAACCTAAACTAATAATACATTTACAAAACTATATATAACTCATTAAATGTTAATTTCGAAATATAAATTTTGAATTTTAATTTTTGGAATTGATATGGTTATAAATAAAATTAAATAATGAAAACATATTTAACAAGGAATATGATACATAACTAAATTTATTTTTATGCATATATACTATATATACATAATACGTAATAATAATAATAACTGCAAAGATTTATTTTAGACAACATGTTTACATAAATTTGTACTTGCTAATAGACATAGCCCAAAATCCTAGAAACAATTATCCATTATTAAAATTACCTTGATGATATTTTATTTTATTTATTCGAGACCATCCGTGAGATAACGTCCGCATTAGTTATCAATTTAGATATACGCAATAAATAGAAATTGAAAATAAAATAATAAAAATCAAGTACGTAACGAACAAATTTTATTTGATTGCGGACGCTATGCAAGACATGGACGCATAGAATCTTGAAGACGTGTACACAAAAAGAAATTTAAGAGATTTTAATCATTTGTTCAGAAATGTCTTTCAAAATGACCACACATTTCGAACAATACCACTTTACATGTGTCTCCATTTCTTTAAAACGTGTTTGGATATAGCTCCATTGGTTTTCAACTGGAAAAATGTTAGCTTAAACTTTCCCGTAGTTTATGGTAGATACTTTTTACTTTACGGCGTACCTTCAATGCGTTATAAACATATTGACAAATCTAATTTACTCTTATGACACTGTTTTTTTTTGCAAATGATATTAAAAGGGTTAAAATTAAAATTTACTTTATATATGTATATATATTACTACATAAGCCATTAAAAAAAAATACAAATAAATATTTATTTCTGATATATTATTTTGCTTTATTTTATTTTAGAAAAGCTGCGCTTCCGTGGCATAATTTTTTTAAATATAGTTTCTTATTTTAAATATTTTTTTTTAAATATAATATTAATAATATTATTGTAATTATTAAATTTATTTTTAATAAGTGCAACAATTATAATTCATGTATAGTATTCATTTTTTTAAATTACATTATAATTTTTACACAAGTAATAAATTAAAATGATTGAGTTTGCTCTTTTTTTTTTAAATATATTAATTAATAATGTATATATTATAAATGATAATTAATAAAAATATTTATTCAAAATTCAAATGCAACTAATTATAAAGTTATAAAATGCAAACTATACCGTATACTAAATGAAACTGTTTTATATTTTTTAGGAAGTTATTAATATGTTAAGTAATATTAAAGATATTTTTAATGTCTTATATGATATTGTGTGTTTTGTTTGCAAAATGTGGCAATATAAAAAATAAGCTCCTTTCTTTGAAGACGTATTTATGTACTCATATGTATATCTGATTGTTGTTTTTTTCATTATTATTATTGAAATTTCAAATAAAAGTTGAATTCATTATAATATATATACGCAATTTATAGTCTCTTTTTCTATATATGTATATAGTTTTTTTGATTTATTGAAAAGTAGTGAAAATATTCATTTTTTAGATTTTTTTTTCGTATTTATTGATATTAGTTTTTGCTAACTAATTATGTTTTATTTTTTTCATGCTTAATTATTACACATAATTTGCAAATTATTATACATATTTATTTTTTTTAATTTTTAAAAAAACTATTTTATTTATTTCGCATTATTTTTGTTTATATGTTTTTGAAACAAACTGTTTTTATTAAAAGCGCTACAAAAATTCTCTAAAGCTAAAACACTTTATAAATTCGTTTTTAATATAAATACAAAATACGCAAAAATTAATTAAAATTTGTTTTTAAACATTTATTTAAATGCATTTATTTCTGCAAAATATGTTATCGTAATGATTACGATATCATTACATATATAATCTTTTATATTTGAAATAATAAAAGTTTTAAAAAGCATAAAAATATAAATATAAATACAGTTTAAGTTATAAAATATTTATTTATATTATTAAAAAAATTCAGGTAAAAAAATAATATATAAAAATATAAAATACAAATCAAATGATAACACACAAATTTTTAAATAAGTCATTACTGCTTAGAATATATAAAATATATTAAAAATGTATACTACATTGCCACAATTATTCCAATTATCAGCTGAGTTTAAAAATTATATGAATAAAATATTAATTCTAAGTACAAATATATATATATGTACTTAAAATGAAATTATTATTATTTAATTATTATTAAAATTATTTTTAATTTAATTATTTAATAATTTTAATAATTATAATCATTGTTTAATAATTACATATAAATATAAAACATATATAAACATATATAAAACGAAATTTAAACTATAGAACTGACTCTTAGCTGGCAACAAAAATATAACTACAAATACACACGTATACATATTAGTCCAATAAAGGAGTTCATATAAAGGAGTCATTAGTCGTACGGGGCGGTATGCAGATTTTAGTTCAGTCATCGAATAATCACCGAAGCTTGTGAGGAATATATACATTAGTCAAAGAGATGTGAGGGACTCTGTAGATACCTCCCAGCTAAAAAAGAGTAAAAGTGCCCAATTGCAATAATTCGGAAAAACCACAACATAAGACCTCATTATCAATTAAATCCTAACTGTAATTCAGTAGATAGATCAACAACTAGAGATGAAAGTAACTCAAACTAACAATTTAATCACTATCTTACAGTAAAGTATATTGGCGTCAAACATGAACTGCAACCTATTCAAAATTTCCGAAAAATGCTGTTTACCTCGTAGCAAAAAATATATGCCCAACATATATGGGTTAGTATAGATTTTGTGTGGGTTATAAGAGAGAAAAGGGTTATGTGAATGTGGGTGTGATTGAAGTTAGTCTGGATTAAGGTAAAGGAATGTATAGTTCTATATAAATTATATAGTTCTATACATTTTTTTATATTTTTATAGTTCTATAAATTAATAGGACTCAAACTAATATGATTAGGACATTATAGTAGATTGGCAGCGTCAATCTACTATACAACTGCAGCAATTAAATATATTGGTAATTGATATATTAATACTTGACAAATAACTGTTTAGCACTTGATAGTATCTAGGATTTAATTTGGTAACGACAATTCTAGCTGGTGACTTGCATCCCTAGAAATTTCAGGCAGAAGTCTGTTGAGAATTATATTGTAATGCAAACCTGATATCGAAGAAGACACTGTTTCAGTATAAAGAATAGTTATTACTCGTATATATTCAACTTCACTAATGTTGGCTCCATTAAAAGAGGTTCCGACACATAAAAAGGGATCAATATAATCAATTAGGGAGAGATCTTCTGATAATAGTGTGGTTGTATTGTCTATCTATATAACATGCAAGGAAGGACTCCCCAGACAGTAGCTGATTATGTTCTTAACGTGGCTCTGCAAAATATATTGAAAAACAAAAAAATATATCTAAACAAAAATTGAGAAAAATAAAAAATGTGTAATTTAAATTATGATATAAAATATTTTAATAAAAATTTATTTATAGTAATTTGCATATTTATAATTATATTTGGTATAAGTTTATAAATGTAGATAATATTTGTTTTTAATATAATTAAATTAAATACAAAATTAAAATAATCATAAATACGAATATAACAAAAATAAATTTTGATAAGATCAATTATAAATGGCTTAAATTAAATTCACAAAACATATTGCAATTAATTTAATTAATTTGTTTCTTTTTATATAAATTCAATAATCAAGTATATATTTTTACTCAATTAGTAACATATATATTTCATATACAAATGGCACAAATAATATTAAAATAAATTATACTATACATAAAACATAAATATGACCGAGTTTAAGGCTTAACTGTATGTGTTTAAATGGATAAGCTTATTTTTGTTATTATTGAGTATTATTTATATAAAAACAGAATATGAATTAAGAGCATTAGCATTTTGTTTTTGCAATAAAGCATTTAAGTTATATGCAATTTATTTATACATATTTATATTTCTTTTTTTTGTGTATTAATCTTCTCTGAATTGTTTTTAACAAAACAAATATGTTCAGTCTTTTTTAAGTGTGATTTTGTAGTAAAATTTAATTTCAGTATGTAAAATGCGATTAACTCAAAATAGCAGTAAAAAAAAAGAGAGTATTCAAAAACGACGAGTCCAAAAAAATTTGTTTCCACTATGTATAAAAATAAATACTAAAAATTTTAATTTGAAATTTTATATAAAGTCGCGTATGATTTTTTTTTCAGTGCTATTTTTTTATTTGCAATAATTAATTTTTATATTATTAAATTATTAATTTTTATATATATATAAATTGCACTGAATTATTGTGTAGCGTCATCTTTGAGCAATGAAGCGAGCGATGTTTTCAAATAAAGTAATTAAGGTTTAAGTTTTAGATTTAAGTGGGCGCTACGCAGTGACCGAAAACAATGTATTAACGCGATTGTTTATATTCTCGAATTATTGTGTTGTGTACATAATCATAATTAAATACATAAATAAATGATTAATTTTACTTATAAAGCTAATAGTTAATTTTAGTAATAAACGCGTACATTACATATATATTTAATATAGTTTTTCGTTAGCAAGAAATGTCTAAAACTTTGTGTTAGTTTAACGAAAAAAAAACAAAAAAAAACATTTTCAAGACTTTTAGTAGTGAAGCATAGGTTAGCATATTATTTTTATATATAAATGGGATTTTCTTGTCCAGTTAATAGCCGAAACATGGATGTAGGCATAGTTTTCATTAGTATCTGCCGAGGAAAAATTTCAAATTAATTATTTTTATTTTATTTTAATATATTGTTTAATGCTTACTTCTCCCACTGAAGTTGCTAGCAGGTTCACAATTTTTTCATGTGGCACTGCAACCACACTCTGATTATTGATTTCGATAATTCTATGACCAACACGTACACCACCACGTTCAGCTATGCCGCCTCGCAATAAACTACATATCTATAAGAAAATAATATTAAAATTAATTATTATTAAACGTTACAAGTTTATTTGACAATATTATTGCAGCGTAAAATTCATATATAATATATATTTAAACATATATGGTAAAAGGTGTATTTACTCATTAATATGGTATTTGTAAAGTACCATAAATAATATCGTTAAAAAGAAAATGTGATGTTTTATGGACTGGTGATGCTAATGGCGGATAGGTGGGTGGGAAACTCTGCTCTAGTGACCAATTTTACAATGCTTTTTTTCATTTTAAAATATTTGTACAATATATATACTACATATAAATGTAGTATATATATACTATATATATTAATCTGTATGAATTTCTTTACATCAATAATAAATAAATATATATATATATATGAATCAATTTAAATTTAATTATATTGAATACTGTAAAACAATACTCACCACTCCATTCTGCACACTAAATCCTAACTGGTACTTTGTATTTGGACGTTTGATTTTTACTTCAACAACTGGTGGACATGGCACAACCGTAAATTTAACAGCAGTTTGATTTTTTGCATTGCGTATATAACTTTGACATGTCGATAATGGAAGCCCAACAAGACTCATGCCATTAATAGCTATTAATTGATCACCAATATTTAATTGTCCACAACGTGCCGCAGCACCAGCTGACATTAAATTTGCAATAACCACTGTTGGTAACATTGAACCCCAACCACTTTCAACAATCACCACACCCAGTATTTCACCTTTAGCTTTCGGAACAACAACTTCTTTTTGTAACTCTTTTTTAGCAAATATTTCTAATTCATCACCAAAAATTTCTTGACTATTGAGCACTTCCTGATAATCCATTTCTTTCACAAAACTATGATCTTCAATGCCATTTGCTTTAAGAAATTCCATATAAGCTACTTGAAAAGCTTGTCCAATTGATTGAGCTATGAATTGAGCTTCATCACTTTCGAAAACATGACAAATCATTTTAGGTGTGCGATTCAGTTTACTACTACCCGTACCGCCATTTTCTTTGGTTTCTTTATTACCATTAGCGTTAGTAGTAGTGGTAGTGGTACAACCATTACCCTCAGCATCTGAACTACACGAATCTGAAGGTACAAATCGTCGTCGTGCCATGAGTACTACTAAATCGCCAATATCAGCTATATAGGAGATTGTGCGTAAAGCATGATCCATCATAATTTCTTTGAGATCTGTATTGAGCACCATTATTTTTTCGGTAGATATAAATAGATCGACTTCAGTTGAGGGTTGACTTTCACCTTCTGGTGCCTTTATATATATTAGATATTAAAGTTAAATTGAGTAAAAATTTATATATATTTATTGTATGTAAAATTTATTGTATGTAAGCTTGTATGAGAATTTAGCATAAGACTTACCAAAGCCTAGTGTGTTTATTTTTTTTGAAAGCAGCATTTAAGGGAGTAGCAAAATTAAATAGTTTTTTATTAATCGAATATTTTTAGTTTGCTTACTAGCAAAACATGCATTGATAAATGATTAGTGGGTATTAGCGAATTGAAGTTTAATATATAAGATTTGTTAAAGTACACACCTTTATTCTGGACACTGCCTCCTCAGCTTGCATCATACGTGTAGATTTAGTTGGTTGCCCTTCGCATACCAACTGTGTTGATCCTAAGTAACGTGCACGAAAAAGTACACCCTCAATCAGTACTAATGGATCCAATAGTCCTATATAAAGATAAAATTTATATAGGTTATCATATATTGTATAATAACTGTGATATTTGATTTGAAACATTTATTTATAGATATGTATGTATAATCATTTAAACATAATTAAAACATTTATTATATGATTAAATATAAAGACACACATGTATATTACGAATATATTAACTATATCAATAATTTATAATACTTTAATTTATTAATACAAATACAATAAAATTACGACTTACATTAGCAATTCACATTGAAGCACAACAATTGCGTTTAAAATTATTTCATTTTTGTTTTTGTTTTTTTTTTTGTTAACAATGAAAATATATTTAAAATTTAAACCATGTTAGCGTGCAAAGACAAAACAATTATATTACAATATTGCTCACACAGGCCACTTAAAAGTCACTAACAACTAGCAACTTACCCTCTTTGTTGCGTGTTTTAGCTTTCTTATCACTATTTGCTGAGTCTTTCAGAGATTTAATTGATCCTGTGGGACTTTTTGAAAATTGCAACTTCTCAGGCGACGTAAGTGCTACATCAGCTGAACCAACAATTTGACAACGATCTGGCGATGTTGGTGTTAGTGATGTACCAATACCTTGTCTTATCGTAGCCGAAGAGTATGTCTGCGGTTTAATACTGTTGGAGTTTGAAGTAAGCAGTGTGACATCTGAAGTAGAAGGCGAGTGATCATTGGAATGCATACCAATGCGTGAAGTTTTTGGCCAAATTGTCTATTAAAAACAAAAAAAATAACTTTAAATTTTAACTTGACATAACTACCACAGGTATAAATAGCATGAAAATATGTTTAATATGATTTTACAGTTAAATAGTAAATACATATTTGACTATCTGACAGTTAATTAATTTAAAATTAATATATGTATTATGATAATAATATTTGAGTGTTATAATAATACATAAAACAGCTTTATGTTTTATATTAATAATATATTATTCTATTTATAATATAATTCTATTAATATATAATTCTATTAATTAAAATTAAGTCTTAAAAGTATTTAACAATTCAATTTAATTCAATTTTTGCAAATACTTTTCTCTCAAATTATTTTTATACTAAAACATTTTAAATTTTGACTTAATTTTAAATCAACATTTTTAATTTTCGAGAATTATTAGTTTATAACCGATATAAAATGTTTTAGTTTATGTTGTTACTTTTTTATTTATATGTAAGTTTGGAATGAGCACCGAAACCCACTTGATACACCACAGATAAATATTGTAAATGCACCAGACTAAGCTTAACATTCACACACACACCTTATCATCAAAAAAATCTTGATCATCTAGACGTTGTTGTCCCAATAAGCGATCAGTTTCCAAATCAGTATCTGGCTCTTCCTCTTCGCCGGTACAATGATGTTTTTGTGTCGTACTGTGATTACTATTAACGATATTATTCAAACTATTCCGTGGAACCCAGACCGGAGATTCAGGATCTGGTGGTAGCACTTCATCGCAAAATTTTAATTTTTCTGGTTGTGTTTTTGCGCGTTGTAAAGCAGAACGTATCTCTTTCATTGCTTCTTGTATATCTGCTGACTCTCGCTGCTGCCTTAAGCGTTGTTGTCGATGCGGTACTGGTGCTGGTGGCGGTGGAGGCGTTTTTTGTTTATTACCTATGAATAAGACAATAATTAATTTTGTTTTTAAATTCAAAGCAAATAATTAATTATCAAATTATAGCGCTTACTCATCGCTGCTGCAGCGTAAACTGCTTCATAGTTTAAATCATTACTCAGTTCATTGGAATTATTTAATGTAGCAGTATTACAACAAACACTTTCAGCTATGATCAAATCATTACAATGTTGTTGTTTATTGCACTCATCTTTGCCGTTCACTAAATCAGTCATAAAATTTGCATCTATTATATTCATATCACTACAAGCAATTGTGCGACAATCGTCATTGCACTCCGACCCTAAACTAGCATTGTATTCGTTTTGTTCAATCATTTGTTGCTGTTGAAGTTGTTGCTGCTGCTGTTGTTGTTGTTGGTATTGTAATTGCTGCCCCTTTTCTATGTTATCAATGTTTTCATGTTGTTGCGTTTTATTTAAACCCATACCATTATTTTCAGTATCTGATGCATGACCGCTAGACAGACCATCTTCCAACACGGGCATGCTGGTATATAATTTACCATAGTCTGTTGTACAATTGATGTCGTTCGATAAACTATCTAAATCACCACAATTCGAATCGTAGTCTGTGGTCTCTGGGGATAGTGTAAAATTACGCGAATGCCTACGTAAATTAGCTTCTAATTCCGTATCAGCTAAATCGCCACTACTTCGACTATTTGAATCGATATAAAGTTCAATCTCGTTATTTTCACTGTACACATTATCATTATTCTGAAAAATGCATGTAGTAGTTATTTTTTTATATATATTTTTTAATATATTAAAATAATTTACTTGTTTACGTGGTGAACGGTGTACCATATATAATTCATCTTTGGGTATTCTAGCTAAACGTTGTCCAATGTATGCCTGTTCGATATGTTTTTCTTCTTCACGCTCCTTTTCATATTCCTGATGCGTATCCTAAATTAACAATAAATATTAAAAAAAAGTTATAATTAATATAATTTTAATAAATATTTATTGTACGAAATAATATGCACTTACACAGCTACCAACTTCGTCACTCTCGGTATAATCTGTAAATCGCTTTTCATCGTCCTGATTACTAACTTTGAAAAATTCTTCCAATACTTTACGAGTTTCCGAAAATTCATACAAATAATCAAAAGTAGGAGTTTTAGCTTTTGTGTTATTAACTACACAACCATCATTATCGATGTCAATTAAATTACCAATGGATTTTTGTAAATCTTCATTAGGATTTGTAACACCTGTAGCAATATTTGTTGCATTTTGCTGATAATATTGCTGTGCTTGCTGTTGTTGTTGCTGCTGTTGTTGTTGTATAAGTTGTCTTACGTTTGCCTCCTGTTGCTGGTGTAATTGCAATTGTTGTGCTGTTGATAAAGGCGATACTCTTTGTGGAAAACCAGGCGGCCTTTTTGGAAACGCATTCCCTGTTATAGTATTAGTTTGTTTAGTTTGTGGCTGATTGCCAAATCGTCTTGGTGAACCCTCATACTCTGCTATGGGCAACTGGCCAATCATTTTGGTAACTTTAAGTATATCCTCATTATTGTGTTGTAAATGTTGAATATTTTCTTTTGAGTTATTTGAGTTTGTTTTATTCATCCAATTCGTATCAATGTCATCAAAAACAACAATTTCGCCATCACGAAGACATTGACCGTCTGCTTTGCCAACATCTGTGGGTGAACCAGGACTAGCTAGACCCTATAAAAACACAATAAAATAGTAAAGAACATTGAATAGAATATAATGTATAGCATACCAACCTGTGGCAGTATGTTGTGTTGTTCAAATTGACTGCCTGGACTACGGCCAACACGTATTTGATGATGTTGACGATTGTGATGTTGTAAGGTATATTGCATATCTGTATTCATATCGGGTGAATTTAACACTGTACTTGCAGGAGTCACATTTGGACTACGTGAACGCATTTCCCAAACGTAACGCTCTTGTGGTTTATCTACGTTTTTTGCTACGGTTATATTGATATTGTTTGTCAAGTTAGTTGTTAACTCGTTATTTGCACTGACTTCACAACCCGCATCGGTAGTGGACATACTGTGATATGTAACAACGTTGGAGGAGTTGGTAGGTAGTCTAGTAGAGTTGGGTGGTAGAAAAATCGGACGACTATTGCTGGACGTTTCTAATTCACTACTGTCCGAATTCATTGTCTCTTTGATATCAAAAAGTTGTTTATTTTTTTTCTCGCTGTACTCTTAATTGAATTTCAAGCTTTATTGACTTTAATCTATTAACTGCTTTGTTGTTGAAGTTTATTGATTGGTTTTTGTTGAATTTTTTTATTAGCACAGCTGTTTGTGTTCGCTGCTATTGTCGTCTGGTTTTCGATTAATTTTTGTGTTGTATTTGCAAATTAAAGCATCAATTTAAGCCAAGGAGGGAAACAGATTTAAAGCTATGCAGTTGCTGTAAGAAAAAAAAGGTGTTAAGATGTTAATAAACTTATTACCGTCTATATAACAAATTAAATTATTTTTACTCTTTGTTATTTTTGTTTATGTACTAATATATATCAGTACAGTAAATAAGAGTGAACAAATAAATTATCCTTTAACAGTACTAAATTCACGCACAGCGAAGCTCGTTACTTCGCTGGCTCGCTTTATTGCCAATAATGAATGAGAATTGTTAAGGCAGCATCAAACAGCGTGCACTTGCACTTGGCCTCGAAAAAAACTCAAAAAACAAATTCTGAATCAACTGTGACGGTGTCTGTGTTGCAGCACAAAGCACACAAATCAAAGATAAGTGGGGGTGGTAGGCAGAATGCATAGTGGCCTGCCGTAGCCACTGACTGATTCACACAATTGTTTCCGATTGGGTAGGGCGGGCTGGGCTGTTGACATGATACTGCAATTAATGTTGTGCATAATAAATAGGATTTTAGTTTTATTTTACGCAATTTGCATATTTATTGCAGATGATTCGATTAAATTTATTTAGATTTGTATTTTATTGTAAAAATCAATAAATCACTACAATCATAACTTTCCGCTGTTCAAATTACAATTGACTGCAGACGAAAAACTCTAAATTTGCACAATCCTTTAACAAAGCAAATATTGTTTATATTTTACACAATTCTACATAACTATATAACACTTTACCATTTTAATATTAATTTTTTAAACTTTTTACACAGAGTACTTAATAAAACAGTAAAAGAAATCCGTGCTGTTTTTCCTGTTTTCCAAAATTTGTTACATTTCTTTCTCTTTAATTCGTTTCAATACGGTATTTGCTCTTTAAGGCCAATTCACAATGAAATAACAAAAATGGATTCATTCACAATAGAATGCAAAAATAATAATATATATAGAAAATACAATTTATATACATATACTAGCATTGTACATGAGAGATTAAAAACATGTTTATGTCCTATACTTATAAATAATAACCTTGGTTTATTTATTGAATCTCTCTAAATAGAAATTAACAATAATTTTGCAAATCTTGAAAAACTAAAATATGTGCTATAGAGCTAGAGTATTCATATATATAAATGATTTTCTTTTAAGACGATTTAGTATTTATAAAATTACTTAAAGTTAATAAGTAAATAAAAATTACCATTTATTTGAATTATAATCAAATGAGAAATGTGAAAAAAATTGAATATACTAAAACCATCTCTTTGGAATACAAAATAAACAAACTTCAAGGCTCAATAAGTCAGTACGTGCCATAAGAACTTAAGTCAAAGCAAAAAGCACAACCAAACTCACTTGAGTATTTTGCTTTAACACAAGTTCGCTTAAGTTCTTACGGTACGTACCGCTTAACTAAGTCTTCAGCGATTAGTCCGCAAGGTTAGATAAGGTTCAGAAGGTGCGTGTTGACAGTTGTCAGCACTTCCACTCGGAGGTATATATTACCCATTGTGATGCCCTCAAAAATTTTGACAGGGAAAGGCGAGTTGCCGGGAAAGATTAATTTAACAAGAAATAAATACAAATAAATTGTGCATTCTGCTGAAAACACAATCAACGCGATACGAAATTTCAATAACCACAAAATTGTAGCAATACAATGAGCTCTATATAAATTATTTGTGCAAAGTGAATGTTAGTACTAGGTTTTAATGATAAACGATTAGAATTCATGTGTTAACTATCTACCTATTCATCGTCTCCCTTTTTTATAATGTATTCTCATAATGAATACATTTTTTAAGGATTACTAAATAATAGCAAAACACTTTAATAAAAGCATGATTATATCGATTTCTTTTAGATTTTTAAAAATAATGGTATCTAAGAAACTTAAGGAAATATTATATACGTTATATCATTTAAATAAATATTTTTGGAAACTTAAAAATACGTATTACTGATTTTAGTTTCTTTTTTATTAATGAATTATTTATTTATAGAACTTAAAAATAAATTAAAGCTTTGATATTTATTATTTAACTAAATTGTTATCAGCTGTATATAGTCTATTTATGTCATTTTATACACAAACCTAACACCATAGCTGCTGTGGTTTAATGTTTTATCTTATTTATAATTATAAGTTAATTTATAATTAATTAAATGTAAACGTTAAGAATGTATTTCATCATAAAATTATTAATGTATTATACGCGTTACTCAAAATATATATTGAGTTGTTGTATATCATTTCAAATTTATGTAGTAATGTTTTGTCGGTTAGATATTTGTTTTTCGTAACAATAATTTGAGTTTTTGAAAAAAGAATAATGGCAGCAATAGCTGCTTTTAGCTATGAGATTATATTTAAATTGTAGTTACTAAGTTTAAATCCTGAAAAATCACTTTGTAAATCACTCTTTCACTTCGATTTCAATTTTTGGATTATATGTAAAATATTATATTTGATAGGGCCGCAACAAATATTTTCCATTCGGTACGATTGGTGGCCAATAGCTTCAACTTTCCCCAGCTTTTCCGCATGTGTAACATTTCCATGTCGATTTGCATTCTCCAGGTGTGAGCAGTTCTGCCCCTTCTTCTGCTACCCAACGGGTTGCACTCAATAGCCATTCTTGTGGTGTCACCAGTCAGTCTACGCAAAGTGTGGCCGACCCATTCCCATTCCCTTTTTTTGATTTTGTTTCTTATAGGAGTTTGTTGAGTTAATGACCACAGACGTTCATTTAAAATTGTATTTGGCCAGAATACCTTATGTATAATATTATTTTAAAATTGTTTAAAACATAGCCAAATAAAAGTAATTATTTATTTATATAATATATATTTAATATATGCAAATCTATGTAAATACATTTAATTATATATTGTTGTGTATTTATATTGTTAGGTAAATCAAAATATATACACTATTTTACTCTATATATTATATTATTATATTATACACTATATTGTACTTACATGTGGAATATATTAAACCCAAAAATTTTTTAAATAACAACTGTTATAAAAAAAAACGTTAATAACAACCCTGTTTCAAAATTTACATTCAAATTCAAGATTTTCTTCAAATAGAAAATATATTTTATATACTATAAATAAAAAATTAATTTATAAAAAATTGTAAACATTATTTATATTTTATTAAATTTATTTTATATATTGTCTTCAATTTTTATAATTTTATTCAAATATGTTGTGCAGGAACACATTTTGTTCTGTTAACATTTTTATTTACAGAAGAATAAACCAAGAATATTCATTTATTTATTTGGTATTTGTATATTTTGTGCATAATTTTATTTGAACACAATTTTTGTGTTGTCGAAATAAAATTTTTTTGTCTTAACAAAAATGCATTTTGATTAAATTCATTTTTACATTTTTTATAATTTAATTTCTCATAAGAATTTGTGAAACGAAAATTATGTATAAAAAAACGTAAACAAAAACAAAACGCTCTCATCGCGTAAAAGTCAGTTAAGAAGAGAGTTTGTTTTGTTGTTCATGGCTGAGAGCGCGCACATGACAACAACAGTAACGTGTATTCACTTTATAGCACAAATTCTGTTGTCAATAAAGTCAGTTGTTCGAAACGCGTCGAGTGGTTAAGTTATTGTAGATGTGAGTGCGATTCGATTGATAAGACCGTGCGGTATTAACTCTTACAACAAAAACAAGTTGTGCCCAGGACTTGTGTACGCAATAAGAATTGAATACTCAATTGAAAGGTGAATAAAAAAAATTTGAATAACAGCAAGTGTATTAAATTGGTTTTTTTTTTGTGACCAAATGTTTGTACTTCTCAGTACTAAAGATGAAAAGTAAAGCAAAGATTTTCCGTTAAAAAGAAATTTGTTAACCGAATGTGTGTGTATCTTCAGTGCTAATTAAGGGATGCAATTTTAGCAAACATAATTGCCTTGAACAAGAAAATATCGAAGGTTATTTGGACTTGGCATCAACAACCTTTCCTGAAGTCGGCGCTGCAGTGACGTTTGCAAAATTCAATTGTTTCGTTCTTTTAAGTTTTTGTTGCTATTGTCAATGTTGCCTCCTGCGCTGCCACCTTGCTCTGCCCGCACAATTGTTCCTTTGCTCTGCGGCTGTCGTGCTGCTATGGTAGCCATAGGATACCAACACAATAAGTTGACTTCAACAATAACTTGTGAATGAAATAAATTGAAAATGCAGTGCACTGGCAAAAATCAATAAAAAATCTTAAAATAAAAAAATATATTAAATAATAAAAAATTTTTTACGTGTTCTCTTTGCAGGATAATTTAAAAATTAAAAATAAGTGTCGTGTAAGAAAACAAGAAAAGTATTAGTGAAGAAGAAAAAAATTGTAGAAATTATAAAAATCGTGAAAGTACTGAAGGTTTCAACACTGATAAGCTTTCAAAAAAAATCTGAAACATTTTATAATTGAAATGATAAAATAAATAAAAAATTCTATTTTAATTTGAAGTCAATATAATTTACAAATTTAAAAGGTGCGTATTGAATTAAATAATTATTATATATAAATTAATTATTTTTATACATATATTTATATTATATATAATCCCAAAATATTTAAAAAATCCGTGATTTTTTAAATATTTTAGAATGGCAGGTTGATGCACCTGTTTTCATTTATGGATCTATAATTAAATAAAAATAAAACTGCAATTTAAAATAAATAAAATGACAGACCAATACCACGTTATCGAATCTCAAAATGGTTACTGGCTCCTCGGGGAGGTATGCAGATCTAAGGTCAATTATTGCTTAGTCTGATGAAGTGATAAACAATAATCCAGTCAAGGCGTAGAGAGGGGTTTTGAAGAAACCTCGCAGTTAATAGAGAGTAAAGGGCACTGACTCAACTAGCTTTAACATAATAATATAAATAAATCTATATCTAAATTAAAATCCCGCTAAACTATAATTAAATAGTATTTTTAAAACTATAAAACCAGAAGTCAATATATTTAGGATCGCAAGACAAGTAAAAAATACGTTTAAAGCACTTAATTGAAAAATTCTACCGTATGCTCCCTATTCCCCAGATTGCACTTTATTAGATTACTACTTGTTCCCATCTTTGGAAAACGTTTCTTAAGACTAACAATTAAGAAACGACAAAGAAAATAAAAAATGGCTTGATGAATTGATCCCATCAAGAGATAAACAATTTTTTTCCCATAGAATCCATAAATTGCCAAAAAAGATGATCAAAGTTCATAGCTAATAATAGAAAATATTTTATTCTGTTTTTAAGCAAAAAAAACTAAGTTATATACTCAATAGTTCTAAATGTTCTTATACTTACTACTCAATTACTCAGCATTTCAAAATCCTTCATCTGAAGTTAATCAAAAGATATTTGATAGAGTATATGTTTGATACTTAGTTCTAAATGCATGTTTCTGCAATTCATCAAAATGTTAATACTCAGTCACAATAGAAGTAGGCGACTTCTTTTTCTAGCTCTTTCCTTTTCAGGCTTGAGGTTTGAAGAAAGGAGAAGATATTGCTCATCTGCTTTGTCACTGTTAGAT